AAAAAAAGGCAAAATGGAAGCCTTTTCATGTAAATGAAAACTAAATAAACTTGTTGCCAATAGACCTAAGAAATGTTAAAGCAATCTTTTTAGGCTGAAGGGGAAAAACATCAAATGGACTTGCGTCTACAGAAAGGACCAAAGAACACTGAGAATGGTAAATAGAAAACATTTCTTCAAAAACTTCTTTTAAACACATAAACTGCTTAAAGCAAAAATTATAACATTATCGTGGAGTTTATAATATGTAGACGTAATATATATGACAAAAATACTACAGAAAAGGGGGTAATGGAACTCTACTTTTGTAAGTTTCCTGTATTTTACAGGGAGTATATTAACTCTAAATAGACCAGGATACATGAAAATTGCATGATGTAATCACACACACACACACACCCCCACCCTCCCAATGTAAAAAAGTAGAGCTAAAAAGCCAATGGAGGAATTACAATGGAATACTCAGAAGTATTCAATTAACCCAAAGGAAGGCAGGAAAGGAAGCACAGAGGAACAAAAAAATTCTATGAGACAAACAGTAAACAAACGGTAAACTAACAGACTTAAGTCCAACCACATACTTACGTTTCAACATAAATGGACTAAGCACACTAATCAAAAGGCAAATTGTCAAACTGAACCCAATTATATGCTGTCTACAAAAGCTACACTTCAAATACAAAGGCAAAAATCAGCTCAAAAATAAGAGAACAGAGGGGCGCCTGGGTGGCTCAGTCGGTTGAGTGTCCAACTTCAGCTCAGGTCATGATCTCGAGGTCCGTGAGTTCAAGCCCCACATCGGGCTCTGTGCTGACAGCTCAGAGCCTGGAGCCTGCTTCAGATTCTGTGTCTCCCTCTCTCCGCCCCTCCCCCACTCATGCTCTGTCTCTCTCTGTCAAAAATAAATAAACTTAAAAAAAATAAGAGGATAGATAGATAGATAGATAGGTTAGAGAACAAAAAGAGATATCCTATAGAAACACTAGTTAGAAACTAATGGGACAAAATAGACTATTCAACGTTTATTTATTTTTGGGACAGAGAGAGACAGAGCATGAACGGGGGAGGGGCAGAGAGAGAGGGAGACACAGAATCGGAAACAGGCTCCAGTCTCCGAGCCATCGGCCCAGAGCCCGACGCGGGGCTCGAACTCACGGACCGCGAGATCGTGACCTGGCTGAAGTCGGACGCTTAACCGACTGCGCCACCCAGGCGCCCCCAAAATAGACTATTCAAACAAGGAGGCTTACCAAAGACATAGAAGGACATTTTATCAGGAAAGTAAGAGTCAACTCATCATAACAGCCCATATGTATATACCTAATAGCAAAGCCTCACAAGAAATTCTACGAAAATAAAACTAAAGAAAGAAAGAAAAACATGGGAATGCAAGCTGGTGCAGCCACTCTGGAAAACAGTATGGAGGGTCCTCAAAAAACTAAAAACAGACCTACCCTACGACCCAGCAATTGCACTACTAGGTATTTACCCAAGGGATACAGGGGTGCTGTTTCGAAGGGACACATGCACCCCCATGTTTATAGCAGCGCTATCGACAATAGCCAAAGTATGGAAAGAGCCCAAATGTCCATCGAGGGATGAATGCATAAAGAAGATGTGGTATATATACACAATGGAGTATTCCTCGGCAAACAAAAGAATGAAATCTTGCCATTTGCAACTATGTGGATGGAACTGGAGGGTATTATGCTAAGTGAAATTAGTCAGAGAAAGACAAAAGTCATATGACTTCACTCATAGGAGGACTTTAAGAGACAAAAGAGCTGAACATAAGGGAAGGGAAACAAAAATAATATAAAAACAGGGAAGGGGACAAAACAGAAGAGACTCATAAATATGGAGAACAAACAGAGGTTACTGGAGGGGGAGGGGGGCGGATGGGCTAAACAGGTAAAGGGCATTAAGGAATCTACTCCTGAAATCATTGTTGCACTATATGCTAACTAATTTGGATGTAAATTAAAACAAGTAAAATTAAACAAAAGACAAGAAAGAAAGAAAGAAAGAAAGAAAGAAAGAAAGAAAGAAAGAAAGAAAGGAAGAAAGAAAGAAAAAGATAATTCTAGCAAATAATTAAGGAAGAAACAATACCAAGCTTAACCAAAGTCCTTCAGGAAACAGGAGGAAGGAACACTTCCCAGCTCATTTTATGAGTATAGTATAATCCTCATAACAAAACCTGACAAAAGACATTACAAGAAACCGTAAGACCAATATTCCTCACGAACACAGACACTAATCTCCTTTAGATAATATTAGCAAACCAAACCCGGTAATATATGTAAAAGAATACATCACAATAAAGCGGGGTTTATTCTGGAAACACAAGGCTGGTTTAACATTAGAAAAATCAATCACTGCAACTCACCATATTAAGAGAATAAAAGAAAAACATGATGCTGAGTGAAAGAAGGTAGTCACAAAGGACCACATATGGTACGATTCCGTGTATATGAAATGTCCAGAAGAGGCAAATCTATAGAGACAGAAGTAGGTCAGTGGTCGCCAGGGGCTACAAGTGTGGGGGAGATGGAGAGAAACTGCTAATGGGTATGGGCGTTTTTGGCGGGGGTTGAAAATATCCTAAAATGGATCAAGGTGCTAATTACGCAATTCTCCATTTTTGTATTTATGTCGGAAATTTTCCAAATAAAAAGTTATTTTAAAACATCAAAGCAAAAAAACAAAAACAAAACAACCCCCAAGCAAGAGAATCTATTGTGTCTACCATCAATAGAGACCCAGCCTTGAGACCCGAATTCCTGCCAATCCACAATGGGTCTGCCATTAGTGCAGAAAATGCCCCTGAGGGTCAAAGGACAGGTTGACACTGACTAAAGGGAGGCGGTCAGTCCACTTGTGTGCAGAGCCCAGGCGATCACAAACGCCATATACCAATGTCAGTCCATTCTCCAGATGCTTCACGAATCTTAACTTGAAAGAAAACCATAGAAAATATCAAGTTCTGCTACTGTAATTACCTGGTGCTCACAGTGTTTGCAGACCATGTTGCTCGTAAGTCTTCCATGGAAGGGATGCTGGGATTTCCAGTGATTGGACGTGGGGTGAGGTGACCCTGGAACACAGAACACGTCTGGATATGTCACCTCCAGCCCCTTGGTACCAACCTCAAAATTCACCCTCCTTTTCAGTACGTGGTAGGAACTCCCCTCTTTAGAAAAAAACGTTCCTGGAAGGTAAACTGAAATAGCTTTCCTTACTGACTTCCATCAAAAAAAAAAAAACAAAACAAAACAACCCGTTCCCTTTCACAGGAGAATTGATACAGGTCCTTAAATGTGGTTTCCGTATAATGGGTATAGCCACATTTAAAAAAGGAATTTGTGGGGCGCCTGGGTGGCACAGTCGGTTAAGCGTCCAACTTCAGCCAGGTCACGATCTCGCGGTCCGTGAGTTCGAGCCCCACGTCGGGCTCTGGGCTGATGGCTCGGAGCCTGGAGCCTGTTTCCGATTCTGTGTCTCCCTCTCTCTCTGCCCCTCCCCCGTTCATGCTCTGTCTCTCTCTGTCCCAAAAATGAATAAAAAAACGTTGAAAAAAATTTAAAAAAAAAAAAAAAGGAATTTGTGTTGAATAATGGATTTTCACATTCACTTTAAAATGTTTGCAATGTCCAAAGATGGATACCACAAGGCAACATTCCAGAAAGTGAGATAAACGTCTGAAAGCCATCAGAATAAGCAAGTTCTGAAAAACTGGGATTTTTTTTGATAGGATGGGAGTTAGAGCAATAAAGAACGTGGTGTGCTAGTCAGAAAACACACACCCTAGACTCGGGCAACCCTGGGCTGGGTCCCAGCTGTGTCACCTCATCTCTGTGAGCCTCGTTAAGATGCTGCAGCCGCTGGCACCCGGTCTTGGGCTCAAAAGCTAATCGTTATTATTACTACTGATGCACAAAGGAATCAGTTTGTCTTATTTTCCCCCCTCTTAAGTTTAGGTCTTAAGAAAACAATTCCTGGGGCACCTGGGTGGCGCAGTTGGTTGAGCGTCCGACTTCAGCCAGGTCACGATCTTGCGGTCCGTGAGTTCGAGCCCCGCGTCAGGCTCTGGGCTGATGGCTCAGAGCCTGGAGCCTGTTTCTGATTCTGTGTCTCCCTCTCTCTCTGCCCCTCCCCCGTTCATGCTCTGTCTCTCTCTGTCCCCAAAATAAATAAATGTTGAAAAGAAAACAATTCCTTCTAAGGAGGACTGTGATCGTTTGCTGCGGACATGACAGTTTCAGCTTTATTAAGTTCCTCGAGTGAGATCAAGGCAAGAAGGTAGAAAGAAAACCCTTGTCTGAGGTGGAAATAGGTCCATTACTTTTGTTCGGAGCGGGAAACCAAGCAAGGCCCTGGTGTGAGGGGAACGATTCAAGATGGTCCGAACGAACAATGGAAAGCTGTTCCCAAAACACAAGCTCCTTTGCAAGTACGCACAGTTCAAGCTGGGTTGGATGTCACCAGAAAAAAAAAAAAACAATTTTTCTTAAACAACAACTCATTGTCACATCTCAAAAGTACCCATCTTCTGTGTTACAGTTCAAGGGAAATGATTACCTCTCGTACGGCAGGTTATTTGTTTAGGAGTTATCTCTGGCTGCTGCTGTAGGGAAAAAAGAATGAAAACAGACTGAAAACCCAGCCGCAATCCCTTCTACACCCTCACGCGGCTCCTAAAGCTTACAAGCTTCTCTGCTGATGGCGCCACTTAAACCCGACTTTTAACAAGAGATCCTAAAAGTAGCCCTGGTGATCCTCTCTGGTTGGTGACTGTACCCAATCATCAAATGCAATCAAAACACACTTCCTCTCTCTGGAATATTCCTCCCATCCCTTTGCTAGTTAACTTTTACCAACTCCCTAATATCTATAGTGTTCTAGGGAAATGAGGATTCATTTAGCATTCCTATGGCTCCTTGTTCCCTAGATTAGATGGGGGGCAAGGGGGAAGAAATACCTTTTCTTCTCAAAGCCAATACAAATCGTAGTGATGAATCATTTTAAAGAGGCTTGGTACCCTAACCAAAGTCACCAATTGCAAAGTTTACAGCTTAAGACAATCCCCCAGCCCCACTCCCACTAGTGATTTTTATTGAGACTTTTTTTTTGACAGAGAGAGACAGAGTGTGCACATATGCACGCACGGAGGGAGGGGCAGAGGGAGAAAGAGCATCCCAAACAGGGCCCAAGCCCAGCACAGTGCCCGATGCGGGGCTCGGTCCCACAACCGTGAGATCACGACCTCAGCCGACACCAAGAGCCGGATGCTTAACCGACTGAGCCACCCAGGCGCCCCGAGACTTACTGTGGAGTTGAAAGTGGTGCAAAGATTACACTTGTGCCCCCTATACCTATTAAATATGCACGAACCACATACACGTATTGAGAGGATTAATGACTTACCTCCAGGGAGTGCACATCAAACAAATGTGTGACCCGGGGCTGCCGGTCCCGCTCATCTTCCAAGGACGAGGTAATGACGTGGAATAACTCGTGGGCATCCTGTCACAGGGCAAAGCTGCCTCAGAGAGGCCCGAGGAGGCTGGGGCCGCATCAGAACCGCCCTGCGTGGACCACCAGGCACACCTGCAGCCACTGGGGCAGAATCTGCCCCCCACCTTCTCAAGGTTCAGCCCATCGACAGCTACCTCCCCGACACTTTCCCCGTAAAGGCCCTTTGACTAAGGGGCTCAAGGGGAGAGAGAAGGAAAGCAAGCTTGGGGCACAGGGCTGCCTTCACACCTGCCACCTCCCAGCCTGTCTCAGCTTTGTCAACATGGCCCTGACCTCCGCCCCGCCTACTTTTGTTGTGGTGGTGGTAAAACAAACACATCACATAAACGTTACGGCTTTAACCATTTTGAAGCATACAGTTCCATAGGGTTAGGTACGTCCACACGTCGTGTCACCGTCACCACGGCCCATTCTCCGAACCGTCCCAGCTTCCCCAGCTGAAACTCTGTTCCAGTCAAACATCAACTCCCAGCCCCTTCCTCCCTGGGCCTGGGCACCCACCATTCCACTCTCGGTCTCTCAAAATCTGGCCACTCTCAGAAACTCACAGAAGGAATCACACAGTATTTGTCCTTCTGTGACCGGCTTGCTACACTCAGCACAATGTCCTCAAGGCCCGTCCACGCTCTAGCCCGGCTCACAATTTCCTTCCTTGTTTCCCATCTCAGGCCTGTCCTTTGCACTCCGGCCTGAGCAGCCGGCCCACATCTTCACACAGGGCCCCTTCTCATCCTTCACGTTTCTGCTGGAAAGGCACCTGCGCAAGGAGACCCTCCCTCGAGGACTCTCCCCAACTCAGCCCCCTCCCCCCCCCCCGGCCGGTGCAGCGGGTCCTCTACCCGAGACACAGCCCGAATCCCAGAGGACTCTGTCTCCCCTGCCCCAACCCTCTCTGCCTCCCTGCCTCTGAGGCAGGCCATCCCCGGCCCGGACACCTGCTCTGGCCTCTCCACTTCCCTCTCTGCTCCCTCTGCCCGGTTCCAGTCCCTCGGGTACAGCACGTGCCGTTCACACACAAATCAGGTCACAGCGGGTGCCTATAAAGCCTCCAGTGGTTCCCCCACTGCACACCGAGTAGAAACCCCCCTCCGGCCCAGGGCACCGGGGGCCCCGCGCAACCCGCCCCCTGCCACCGTCTGAGCGCCCTCCCCTCCTCGGCTCTGCTACGGCCGGCCCCAGCCACACCGACCTCCCCGTCCTTCCCAAACACCGCAGCCTCGAGGCTTTCGCCCCGCGCCCAGGCTCTTCACAGGACTCACTTCGTTTCAGACTTCAGGTCCCAGCAAAAATCTCGGGTCTCCAGAAGAGTCTTCTCTACCTGAAGGAGTCCCCCCCACTGCTCTTCTCTCCCCGCCAGCGCCAGGCCCCTGACACTCGCACGGTCACTGTCACATCGGCACGCTTATCTTGTGGTTAGCACATTTTGAAATGACCTCTTTACTGTCCACAGAAACCTGCAAGCCATGTTTGCCACTACAACCCCAGGCCCCCCACAAGCCCTGCCTGAGGAAGGCATTCGATAGGTATTTGTTGCAGGGGACGAACCACTGGATTCTACGCCTGAAATCATCATTGTGCTACATGCTAACTAACTTGGATGTAAACTTAAAAAAAAAATAAATATTTGTTGCACGTATAAATGAAGCCCCTCCTAGGCTATGAATGGCCGTGATGGAGAGTGATGGAGGTACAAAGCTAAAAGGCAAGGCCCTCGAAGGACGCACAACCCAGGGGTGGACGCGGCAGCCTGGCTATTTATCGAGTGACGCTGCCGCAGCCTGAAAGGGACCAGCTTTTCCAGGGCAGCTCACAGACAAGGCGTCTGGACCAACCCTTGAAGCTGGAGCAGGGGTTCGCCAGAGGGAAAAATCTCAAGACAAGATGCCGTCAGACCCAACCCTATCGTGTCTGTGAGCCACGGAGCTCCTCGGCCTCGAGGAAAGGAAGGTATCGCAGATGGGGGCGGGGCTTCGGCGGGCACTTCAGCACCAGCTGGGCTCCAGCCCTGGCTCTGCCACTCGGAGAGCCATGTGACTTCGGGCAAGCCACCCTGCTCCTCTGAACCTCGGTGTTCTCATCCGCAAGACGGGGACAGTGACCGTGAGTCCTGACGGGGCCGTTGTGAGGATTACATCAGAGAACTCAACGGAGGCACACTGGCCCAACACAGCTGCCACAGCCCTGGCTCTAGACCCTGAAGAGTGGTTGACGGTGCGAGTCTGTTGCTGACCGACTAGGTCCGTAAAGTGGAGATGCGGACAAGGCCCTGGGCCAGTAGCTCCGGCTGCCTCCAGAGGCCAAGAGGCTGGCGGCCAGCCATGCTTGCCTCTTTCCCGTGCACAGCGCAGCACCACGTGGCTCAGTGACTGCTACCTGCGGAAGCTGCTGGAAATACATCCAAGGAGTAACTGGGACTGCAGTCAAGGGTCCTTGACAGACAAGCACGACTTAGCAAAGGTATCCGATGTCCCTGGGACTACATCTCAGCCATTCTCTCGGGTTAGAGAGAGGAAAATGCAGCTAAATCGTGCCAGTTACCAGAGGAGGACTTAGGAAGAATTTTCTAAATGGAGAAACGTTTCAACGTACGAGGGATTCGTCGAGATGCGTTGTAAGGAAGTAGAAAGGGCGTCAACACCCGGTTTACAAAGTAATGCCCGTGCAGCTTCAGACTGAACTGGAAACAGAGGTAGTCTTTAAAAACAAGGGGGGCTGGGAAGCCTTCCCCCCTCACTTTTCAGCGTTTTTAAACGCATTTCACTCCCGTCCCACCCTTGTGAGGACCCACGGGCTGTCTCCCATTTCTCGGGTCTATTATCTGGATGGTGGAGGCAGAAGCCGCCCACACAAAGCTGGTCCCCAGACCGTCCTGGAAAGGTAGCCAGGGAGGCCGTACCAGCACATCACCGGAAGCTAAACGCCCTGTCCCTACAACTTAACTCTCAGCTTCGGTCTCAGACTCACTGTCGGCAATAGCAGCGGTCTGAGGGGGTGGGGTGTGGTCAGGACCAAAAAAGGCAGCGACCCTGCACTTGTGGGAAAGGGAGTACGAGTGGCTGGAAGAAGGCCCTGGGGGTGCATATGACAGCTGCTCAAGGTCTGGGGCTACTTCAATTCATCTAGCCTCTAAAAACGGATTTCTTTTTAAAACTGGGGGTGCGGTTCAAAAAAGCCCCTCTAAGCCCCAAAGGTAAAGCCACCCGCCTCTGTCTGGAAGATCCAGGTGGCCCTGGTATCCAATGACGTGCAAAGTCACTCCAGGACAAAAAAGAGGTTCGCTGTTTGGCAATGAGGTGTTCCTGCCCTACCCTGCTAACCTTTCCACCCAACGGGTAAGAAACAAACAAAAACCGTTGCATTTCTCCTCTGATCGCGAGAATGGGAACAGAACTTGCGATCTGGTCCCAGAATACTAAGGCAGGCTAGAATGCCTCAGAAATGTACACTCAGGCCAGGCGAGCGCAAGGTCAATACTGGCATTTTTTCTTCATGCCTTAGCAACGAGGCTACGTTTCAGCCGTCATCGCGAGCTCAGGCCCCAGCGCATTAGTGGGCAGAATGGGAGGTTCACCTGTTCTTCAAATGAAGAGATCTGCCATCTGTACATTCTTAAGACATCCAACAAGCAGCTCGCATCTAAGACCTCATCGTCAGTAACTTCTTGGCAGGACAAAGCTGGAAACCAAAAAGGTAACGCCATTAGTAAATTCACTAGCCTCACAACAAGCCAGGAAACCTGTCCCGCACAGCATATCAAAGCTAATTAAGCCTCTCGCTGTAAGATCCACCTTGAGTTATAGTTCTTTCATTATTCCTCTTTGTAGCCTCAACCACTGCACAGAGGGCTGTTAGGCACTGCGTATTTGCTGAAGGAACGTGATCTTTCGTGAGGCTATAGCATTTACATGAAGTAATTGATTTCGGCTATTTGAATTATCGTCATCGATATAAATTGCTGCGAGATTCCTCCTGAATGAAATGATTTTAACTCACAACTCTGAGGGCGGGAGGCCCCTCAAGACTTCACCTAGTCCAACCCACACTCAGTGCTTAACCCCCTCGCCCCACCTCACCCAACAGGACTCTCTCTGGGGCCACGGGGCCTCTGCTAGTATCTGTCTGCACTGGAGTTTCTGATTATCACGGGACAAGCTCTACGGGGCAGCATGAAAGGGTCTGCTGAGTAGTTCACTTTTCAGTCATACGTAAAACCAAGCCTAACAAACAAAAATGAACGTGTGACGGGCTCACGAGTCTATACTGCCATCACAGCCAGATCAAGGGTTGGCAAGCTGTTTCTGTAACGGGTCCGACGGTAGGCGTTTTAGGCTCTGTGGGCTCTGCTGAGACTACTCAACGCTGCTACTGTGGCACCAAGGCAGCCAGACCGCAAGTAAGTGGGCATGGCTGTTTGAATAAAACTTTATTTGCAAAAACAGGCCGCAGAGCAGACCTGACCCGCGGGCCAGAGTTTGCGGACTCCTGATCCTGACGGCCCCCTTCCTTCGCATGTCTCGCCAGCCCAGCGCTGCTAGACAGAGTGTGGGAGATAAAAATACAAGGGCCTGCCACCTCTGTGCAGTTTCCCGAGTTCAACTACCTCCAGGCCGACTAAGCCAGCCTGTTGCTTCTCTTTAATTTGCAGTTGGTAAACTGGAGAGAGTCCTTTGGACACTTTGGGCTCTGACTCAGGAGCCTGAACGTGGTGGGGACTTTGGGGGGGGGGTAGCCTGTGGAGAAGCAGCAGCCCGGGGAGCCAGTGCTAAGTCCCGAGGCTCCTCTTAGCACTGAGGACCCTGGTGTCACATCTTTACCCTCCAGAACAAAGGGCTCCCATTAGGACAGCAACTGAACCTCCTTCTTCCTCTTACGCCCCTCAAGCAGCCTGTATGGTAGCTTTTTTCCTCTCAAGGAAAATTTTAATGTCTCCTTTAGCCCAATTTTGCTTAAAATCCCACGAGGTGATTTAGCAATATCTACTAATTTTTTTATGTCCTATGATTCACGTCCCAGCAGTCTGACTTTCTCAGGACCTACTGCAGGCAAACACAGGCCCGTGTGCACTAGGGGCATGTACAAGACCGTTCGCTGGGGCCCTTCTATGACCACAAGGCACCGGAATCCAACAGCTAAGTAAACTGAGGTATCCTGACGTTCTGCATACTGCACAATTGTGAAAGCGAATGAGGTTTGCAAATCACATATCTGATAAGGGACTGATATCCAGAACGTGTTAAAAGCTCCCCAAAGTCAACAACAACAAAAACACAGACAACCCAATTCCAAAACGGACAAGGGACTTGAGTAGACATTTATAAAAAACAAAACAAAACAAAACAAAACAAAAAAAACGATCAAAACAACTATACAAATGGCCACACCAAAACTTACACGCAACATCACTTATCAGTAGGGAAATGCAGATCAAAACCACAATGAGAAATCACTTCACACCCATTATGGCTACTATCAAAAAGACAGCCGATAACGAGTGTGAGCGAGCGAGGAGGTGGAGAACCGGAACCCTCCGCACACCTGTTGGTGTGAATGCAAACTGGTGCAGCTGCTCTGGAAAACGGTATAGTGATTCCTCAAAACATGAAACAGAATGACCATTTGGTGCAGCAATCCCACTTGGAGGTATACAACCGAAACAATAAAAAGCAGGGACACGAGCAGGTAGGTATCTGCACACCCGCGTTCACAGCAGCATCGTTCACAAAAGCCAAAGGTGGAAACAACCCACACGTCCCTTGACTTATGAATGGATAAATAAGACGTGGTGTGTACATACAATGGAGCATTATTCATAGTTAGCCTTAGAAAGGAACAGAATTCTGACACCTGCTACCACACGGATGAACTTCAAGGACGCTGTGCTGAGCGAAACAAGCCGGACACACAAGGACAAATATTGTATGACTCCACTTCTATGAGATACAGAGTCAAACTCAGAGACAGGGAGTAAAATAGTGGCTGAATGGGAAGTCACTACGTAACAGATACAGAATTCCGATATGGGATGACGGAAAAGTTCTGGCGATGAAGAGGGGTATGGTCGCAGAGCAATGTGAATGTACTCAGTGCCACATAAATGTGCACGTAAAAACAGTTAAGATGGTAAATTTTATGTTATGGGTATCTTGCCACAATTTTTAAACACTGGGCAACGGAGGGGCGCCTGGGTGGCCTAGTCCGTTAAGCATCCGACTCTCGATTTTGGCTCAAGTCACGATCTTGCGGTTTACAGGTTCGAGCCCCACCTTGGCCCCCGCGCTGGCAGTGCAGCCTGCTTGGGATTCTCCCAAAAACAAAAAACCGGGCAACGGAAATGAGTAGGCAATTCACAGAAGACAGAAGACCAATAAACTCACAAAAGAGAAAAAAAATGAAGGAGGTAAAGCTATATGCAGGGACATGGACATTTCTCCAATATGTATTATATTATTTGCTTAGGAAAAAACATAAGTGAGACAATATATAATTTTTGTGGGTACTTAAAAACATATTTCAATGCATAGAAAACAGCCTGGAAGGACACACTTATATTTTACTTTGGGAAGAAAGGAGGGGAACAGGATTGGGGCAGTGATAAAGGGAACTATGGCCTTATGTAATGGTTTAATTCTCTACAAGGAGAATTTATTCATGCATTACTTGTGTAATTAAAAATTACCTCTAAAAACCAAAATAAAAAGTCACTGAGAAGCAGACACAGAGAGGGGAGAACAGACTGAGGTGGAGTGGCCCTGCACGGCTCTGGCTCCCAGCACAGCATCACGCGTGTGAAAAGGGGAGACCCGAGGTCACGCTAGGACGGCTCCTGAACCTGCATTATACTGCCTGTAGGGACATTTCAGCTTTTCACTCTGGAATGGTATTTATTTTTAACAGGGTAGTAGAAGATTTTTTTTTAATTTTTTATTTATGTTTATTTTTGAGAGAGACAGAAAGACAGAGACAGAGCGTGAGCAGGGGAGGGGCAGAGAGAGAGGGAGACACAGAATCCAAAGCAGGCTCCAGGCTCTGAGCTGTCAAAACAGAGCCCAACGTGGGGCTCCAACCCATGAACCGTGAGATCATGACCTGAGCCGAAGTGGGACACTCAACCGACTGAGGCACCCAGGCACCCCTAGAAGAAATTATTTTCAAACTGCCTGTTAATACAGAACAGTAGAACTCGCTTTCCGTGTCAGGCTGGGCTTGCCGGGGAAAACACCCCAGTGAAGCAACAATGAGCTGTTTTTTAAATCCATTTTCTTCCTGACCGTGAGAGTAAGCTGTAGAAATATGGTTGTTTTGTTTTCTCTTAATGTTCCCAAACTGTCAATTGCACAAGACCAAAACGGCCTGTCCGGCCTTTATCTGTGGACATTTTTGCTTTGCTGAAGTCAAATTACATCGTATTTTGAACACTGCTCTTTTTAAACTCGGTATTATAGCCTATGCCTCTCCCAAATTAAAAAAACAATACAACACAACACTTTATAAAGATGTTTCATAACGGCTACGTAATATTTCGTTGACTGCTTAATCATTCTGCTGCTGGACATCGACATTTTCTACCCCCTGCCCTCCTCTGTAACAAGGTGTTGGGAGATCTTTGTACATACAATAGCATTTCCCAAATCGTGTTCTGTGGAATGTCCTTGGGATGTCAACAGATGTTATGGGAGGAAAAACTAGTTCTACAGTCAAAAGAACTGGCCTAAAAATGAAGTTGGACTGGTGATTTCCTTTACCCATACAACCTTTACCAAGACTGTTATATGTGTGACTTCCCAAGCTCGGGGTTGCTGTTCAGCCATTCCTAAACTGGCTTGCTCTCAGAATTCCATTTCAGGCTAGTGCAAATCACGGTCGGCAGAATTATTAGGTCAAATGGAACCGGGCATTTTGCAAGCTATCACTGTGTGGTTCCAAGCTGCTTTCCAGAAAGTCTGCCCTACGTTACACCACCACCAGCACATGTGAACACGTCACCCATCAGAACTGTGGATTGTTCAGTCTTTGCTGACAAGCAAAACGACGATAACCCCTCCGGTATGCTATTTGTATTTCTCTGATGATGGCCACGTTGAATATTTGAGGGTCTGTTAGATACACTGTGAACCTGCATACAATCTGTACTATTTCTTCTGCGAATTACCTTACCTCTGAGGCTAAGACACTTCTTTTCTTTAAACTTTAATAAACCAGAGTACTTCTCACAATCAAAATGCTTAAGTGGCAGTGGATGTGTTTTCTTCCCTAAAAAAGCTATTAATAAGCTGATGATAATTTAAAAATAAATGGCTACATCTTTAATTAAAAAAATAGCTGTTTGTATCTACCGGGCCCTTCGTGTTTTGTTGGTTTGTTTTCCATAACGATCTGTATGATCTTTTTTCACACAAAGGCTATTAACCCTTTGCCTGTCGCCTGGGCTGCTGCTTTCAAAACGCACACAATCCCCTTTAAATTCCCAGTTAGATACCTTTGAGGAGGTGCAACAAGGTTAAGGATAAATACTGGTGTGGGGGGGGCTCCTTCTGATCCCTGGTGTACTGGGTGGTAAACTCTTCCAGCCACTTGATGAAAGCGGGGCAGGCAGACAAGCCTTGCAGCAGGGAGTTCATGAAGCAGGTGTTCCCTAAGTTGACCAGCCCGGGCACCAGCCCTGAAAAAGTCGGGGGAAGAAGACAACAGCACATCACATGGGACCGGCTCTTTTTCCCTCTCCCATTTGGGAGCCAGAGTTTCTGCACTGTGGCCTGGAGTTTAAGATCCCAAACTCACAAAGTCCGTGCCCACTGACATCGGGGGCCAGGCATTCGATCCGCGCCCAGGCCCGGTCCTAGCGTGGCTCCTTCAGGAGACTGTAAGCGACAGAAGGAGGTCCCCCGTCACGTGTTACATCTGAAGGCCGCCACGGTGTGTGGCACAGTTTGGTTTACGCTGAGTGTACAAAAACACTTGGGAACAAGATCTCTCTCTTTCGCCCCTTTTCTCCCTCCTTTGATAAGAAAGCAACGTTTCTCAGAACAGAAGAAAACAACTGTTCTTTTGTTGCTCCCCAGGACAATGATCTTGTTCTTAGAATCAGTTCGAGTGCTCGCTTCGGCAGCACATATACTAGAATCAGTTCGAAAGACACCACCATAGCAACTGTGATCAGTCTTTCTGCAAAGAGATCGACAAAACCTGACATACTTCCCTCTTCTGCTGAAACTTTTTTAAGAAACTTTTTTTTAATGCAAAGTTCTCAAACGTGCACAAAAGAAGAGAGGATATATAACGGACTCTAATCAGAACCACCCCCAGATTTAACAAGGATCAACATTTTGTTCCATCTATCCCTTTTTTGGTTTGCTTGTTGTTGCTGACTTTTAATCAACACAGTGAGAGCAGCATTTACAAGAGGGGGTACTTCTTTAAGGAAAGAGAATTTTGTATTAAAGACACTAACTTGAAACGTTTACTCGTGACTAGCTGCTAGTCAGTGAACCCACAAACGCGTCACACAATGAGTCAGTTGTGGTACTGAACAACACAAGTACCATGTTAAGGAGAACAGCCACGTGAACTTTTTCATTACGGAGCACGTCTCAAACTCGAGACTGTAGAGGGGGTGAAACAGAAATCTTTTCACTACAGGGTCTAAAATAATGAGTCATTAAAATGAACTTCTCTTTAAAAGAAAGTACTGTTCGGAAACCGAAGATACAAGAGAACAACAACAACAACAAAACCCTCCCTTTTTTGTACTGTTTTGGGACGGGAAGGGCTGGGGTCAAGCGCACAGACCAGACTAGGCTGCGATGACCTCATTCTTACCTTTTCTACGCTTCTTTCTTTCTGTAATGGGACCCCAAATCACATAGATCCCTGCGGCAAGGGCAGCAGCAAGTCCCCCTATAACACCCCAGTTCTTCATGACTTTATATCTAAAAAAGAAAATAGGCTTACAGTCTTCCCTCATCATGGACACAATACGTATGACTATAGACACAGGTACACAGAAATAACATTTCATCACAATAACCCAATGGCCCACCAAACACCTAACTTTCAAGTTGAAGTAATGATACCGTTAGGATTATGTCTTGAAAATCAGCACGTTCAGACGTCAGGATTTAAAACCGAAGTCAGAACACAGAAGCCCCATCTCCCTCAGGGGGCATGCCAAGGTTCTCCCCTTACTCTGCCTCCCACGCTGCTGTCACACCGGCCACCTCAGGACCTTTGCACTGCTCCTCCCTCTGCCTAGAATGCTCCCCCCTGCCGGATCACTGCATGGCTCTCTCTTACCTCCCCCTTCATCTCTTTTTTTTTTTTTTCATTTTTTTAAATGTTTATTTATTTTTGAGAGACACAGGGTGCAAGCGGGGAAGGGGCAGAGAGAGAGGGAGACAGAATCCGAAACAGGCTCTAGGCTCTGAGCTGTCAGCACAGAGCCTGACACCGGGCTCACGTGGAGCCGTGAGATCATGATGCGGGGCTCGAACTCAAGAGCCATGAGATCATGTCATCTGGGCCAAAGTGGGACACTTAGCCAACTGAGCCACCCAGGCGTCCCCCTCCCCTTCACTTCTAACCAACAATTAGAACCTGTACTCCTGGTTCCTTTTACCCAGTTCTGCTTTTTCTTTTTACCACCTTCTAATATAACATTCACTCATTAACTAGGGCTATTGTCTGTCTCCCCCACTGGAATGCAAGTCCCCGTGGGCAGAGATCTTTGTCTCTTTTACTCACTGGCATATCCCAAGTCTCTAGATCATGCCTGGCAACTAACAGGTTCCTAGTAATATTTACTGAATGACTGGATCCTGGAGAAAACATATAGAAATACTAAATAGGGAAGGGGCATACTATATATAGCATAACCGATCTACTAAACATTTACTAAATTAAAAATTTCCTAATTTGAGGCTTGGCTTAAACACTGAAGTTATTTTACTACAAACGAAGACATTTCAGCAATTTAAAACACTGTTTTTATGCAAAGTTATGTATTTCCACCAAATAAGACAAACTGTGTGTGTGTGTGTGTGTGTGTGTGTGTGTGTGTGTGTGTGTATACACATACATGCAACATATACTGGTATATATGTGTTAGATATGTGTATATATGTGTGTGTAATATATTCTTATGCCAATATTTGGCTCACGTGAACATTGTTTTGGGCTCAGCTCAGTCAACATTAACTCAATGAGGAGTCACTAGTGATATGAGTAACTCTGTCTCCAACAACCAACACCTCCCTAAGGTCACAACTAATACGATACATAACTGATAACGGAATTCCAAATCAATCTTTGTTCTCCTAAGACAGAGTCCATAGAACATGCACAGAGCTGGGTTAAGAAAGGAGAAGTGCACTAATCTGGCTCAATTCTGGTTTGTCTATTCCTCAGGGCGTCATTCCACTTTCGCAGCCTCAGTTCTGTTACCTGTGCAATGGGCACAATCATGAGATCCAGCTCATGGAGTTCTCAGAATCAAACAAGCACAAGTACACAGGATGCAAAGTAAGGGCTCGGGGAGCCTGGGTGCCTCAGTCAGTTAAGCATCCAACTCTTGAGAGCAGCTCAGGTCGTGATCTCACGGTTGTGAGATCGAGCCCCGCGTCGGAACTCCGCGCTGAGCCTGGAGCCTGCTTGTGATTCTCTCTCCTTCTGCCCCTCCCACGCTCACGTGCTCTCTCTCAAAATAAGTAAATATTAAAAAGAAACAACAGAGGGCTTAATAAACGTTAGCTGCTACTGTTAAGTATTATAATCTCAATTTCATTTGTGAAAGCTATTCTTGAATTTCTTAGCACACGACTGCGCTGACTTCCACACAACAGGTGCGTTAACAAAACTGCCCAGAAAGGTTAAAAAGAACCATCACTGAAAGCATAAAAAAAGTTTTTTTAAATGTTTATTGATTTTTGTGAGAGAGACTGAGCATGAGCAGAGGAGGGCAGAGAGAGAGACAGACACAGAATCTGAAGCAGGCTCCAGGCTCTGAGCTGTCAGCACAGAGCCCGACAGGGGGCTCGAACCCAGGAACGGTGAGATCATGACCAGAGCCGAAGTCGGCCGCTCAACCGACTGAGCCACCCAGGTGCCCCTAACCAAACACCAATATTTAGGGGTGCATACTCTATGCCAGGCACTGTGATGATCTTATCCCATCCTCAGAACAATCCCACAGAGGTAGGTTCTATTATCATCTCCATTTTCACGGATGAGGAAACCAAGAGACGAGCCAACTCCGTCAAAGTGAGAGAGGCTGCATGGATCTGAGCGCATGCCCGTCGGGCTGCCGGGTCTGTGCTGGAAACCACAAACCTCGTGCGGGAACCTGAAGGACAGAGCGTCGAAGCGATGGGAGCGGGGGCTTGCCCAGGTCCTCCGCAGGGTATGGACAAAAACCCCAGCACATGGTGACTCCGGAAACCCCAAACCCCTGCAAAATGACAACCCGAGGAGAGTAGTGGGGTCTGGGAGTAAAAAGACCTGTCTTCTCCCCCAGCTCTACTGTGAGGTCAGCTGTAGGCAAAGCCGACTCGGGGCCTGTTTGCCACCTGCAGAATGGGGGCACTGGACAGGACGGCCGCTGAGGGCTTCCAGCCCTGGGAGCTCTCTAAACCTGCTCCAGTTCCAGAGGAAGGAAGCTGAGATGAGCGGCAGGTCTCAGCCATTTAGGGTCAGGAATGGGGGTGCAGCGCTCAGCTCTCAAGCCTGGAGCCTGTGGGAGGATGAGTAAGAGAAGGGAAACAGGGACCCTGACACGATTGGGGGATCCATACTATTGGGGTTCCTAGCAGGAATGGGAGACCATACCAGGACTGGAAGCCTTCACAGGTTAAGGGGTGCTGATCGGTTCAGGGACTCTTGCAAGATAGAGATTCACTAATAAGATTGAGAATCAGCGATCCCTGGCTTAACTAGGCGGTGGGGAGTGGGGGGCAACAGGAATAGGGGTACTGCCCAAATCGAGGAAGACCCGGGGTGCTTTGCAGGGCGTGAGAGCACCGTGGCAGGATTGGGGAGCGCAGGCAGACCAGGAACTGACATGGCTGGGGAGTCCGGAAGGACTGGGGGTGCCCTGAAAGGATTAAGGGGTCCTGGGAGGCCTGCGAGGCCCTGAGAGGTCTGAGGGGCACTGGCAGAATTCGGGGCTTGACGAGCCCGAGAGTGTCTGGAAGTTCTGGAGACAAGGACAGGATTGGAGGAGGCAGTGGCGGGTGGGGATGGGAGGGCAGGGCGCTGAGAGAATTTGGGGCGCTAGCAGAACTGGGGAGGGCTGACAGAATTGCGTTGCCGAACGACTGGAGGCCCTGGAGGCCCATCCCCCGTCCCGCCTCGGGGCCTGGGTCTCCTACCAAGCCCGACGCAGAAACCTCCAGAATGCTCGCTCCGGCCCTGGGGACCCTGCCAGGGCCGTGAAAAGGCCGCCACAGGCCCAGGCTGGGGACCCTGGCCCCGGCCTTTCCGGCCGCCCCCTCCCCGCCCCCCCCCCCCCCGCCAGGCTCACCTGACGGCCGCCCCGGTCCGCAGGAAGCGCTGGATGGCCCTGTCGGCCGCGGTCATCGCCGCCTGGGCCCGGGAGCTCAGCATCGCGGCCGCGCGGGAGACCCGCCGCCGCGCCTGCCACCACCTCGCTGGACAGGGGCTCCGGGCTCGGGCGGCGGAACCCGCGGCCACAGTCCCAGCTCCTCCGGGGAAGGTAGGCCGGGGACCGGCTCCCCGGAGAACCGGAAGCAGCCGCCGCCGGAGAACAAGAGACGACGGACCACATCCTTGTTTTTCCTTTTCCCCGCTTAGCAACGCGCGCGGGCGTCGGTTACCGAGGGAGGCCCTGCGGCCCGCTTGGTTTTTCAAGTTTTGTTCGGGCTCCGTTCGTTTTGGGCGTCCACTTCCAGCCCCTGGGGTCATTTTTAATTTTCATGAAGGCAGCCAGCCCGAAAGCGGAGATCAGGCCTCGGCCACCAATAGTTATTATTGTGAGAGTGGGCATAGGTTGCAGAGGAAGGGCCTTAGTGAGCCTGTGGTCCGTCTCTGACGGCATCAATGGAGAAACCTAGGCCTTTGATAACAGCCACCACACATAAGGTGTACTTGCGTGCATTGCTGAGTACGTCACATGCATTACTTTCAGCCTTCACAGCACCCGTATCATGACCCACACTTCACATCCCAGGAGACCCGATCGCGCCGTGGCTTATGGGAGAAGGAAGTTGGCAGAGTCTGAGTGTCTAGAATAGCGTATCTTGGTTGAAACAAGGTCACATTTTAAATGATCTAATAGCCACATGAAAGTTAAAAAAAAATCCAATTAGTTTTATTTTTCTTTTTTTTCCCCGCCCGCCCCTGAAATTAATTTTAGCAATAGCTTTTACTTGACCCGATATGTCCAAGATATTGTCATTTCTTTGTAAGCATTATTAATGAGATCATTTACATTCTTTTTTTTTTTTTTTTTTTTGTCTAAGTACATCTTAATTTGAACCAGCTCATTTTTCATGTGCTCCATAGCTGCTCGTGGCCAGTGGCTACCACATTGGATAACACAACTTGTCAGCATTAGAGCCAGAGAGAATGTGTGCCCTCCCTTTTAATCACTTTCTCCAACTCCAGAGCAAGTGATGGCGCCTGCTTTAGTACAGAAATCAATGCTTTAGCTCAGTGGTTCTCAAAGTTTTTGGTCTCAGGACCCCTTGGTATACTTAAAAATTATTTGAGCTTGAAAAAAAAATTGAGAGCTTTTTGTTCATGTGGGTTATATCTATACTTATGCCATTACAAATTAAAATTGAGAAATAGTCGGGTTCCTTTTAAATTAAGTATAATGTATACAGTAAGACTCAACTATATTTGGTTTTGTGAATTTTGGCAAATGCATAATCATGTAACCACTACCACAATCGATACCATGATATAGAACCTTCCCACAACCTCCCCCACACACACACACACAAAATTACCTCCTGTCCCTTCGTAGTCCAGTCTTCGCCCACCTTCAGCCCTAGCAACCACTGACCAAGAGTGAGAAAAGTTTTAAAATTCAAGACTCCCAAATGATTTTGCCCAACTGTAGGCTCACGTAAGCGTTCTGAGTCCATTTAACGTAGGCTAGGCTAGGCTAAGCTGTGATGTTCAGTAGGGTCGGTGCATTAAATGCGTTTTTGACTTCGGATATTTTCCACCTATGATGGGTTTAGGGCAACATAACCGCATCACAGGTCAAGGAAGATCTGTACTCCTCATCCATGAAATTAACAATGCCTGCAGCCTGACCCCTGCTGCTCATCTGACCAGCATGGGTGCGGCTGTCATTGACTAATAGAAGTTCTTAAAAATAAAGACAAATTACTAATTTATGTTGATAACACTGCTCCCAGAAACCAGGCAGTGCCCGCTCTCACATCCATCAGGCAGATCAAGGATTTGCAGCATCCTGGGAGATCACAAGGTCATCTGTCAGAGCCTTAGGCATCTTTCAGCTCCTGGGATTGTGTTGCAGGTAAATGGCTTATTTGAGATCCTAACCTCCTCGGGATAAAAACCCCAAGCGGTGTTTCCCCAACTGCCCCCACCTGTTACAGTCAGTCTTGCTCCTTTGACACCAAGGAGTAGGTCCCTAAATAATGCAACTTTGTAGCCACTGCCATCTCATTTCAATATTTAAATCACTGTCCTGTTTATTTTCTTATTTAAAACTCAAACGTGATTCAAAAGTCTTCTCCCAGACTCCGGAGGAGGGAGTGACCCAGAGAGAGAGCAGTCTAGCTCTGAATACCTTTCCCACTTTCTCTCCTACCTCCCCTGTGTCTCAGAAGGCAGACTTCAGAAATTGTGATCGCGTTGTCACACAAAGCCACAAGAAAGGTCTGGAATCCAAACGAGAGCCTTTTTAGTATTTTTAAAAAGTTATCATTGTGCTGTATTTTCCTACCGCATAGGTAGACTATGAAAAAGAGCATTGAGGGGCGCCTGGGTGGCTCAGTCAGTGGAACATCTAACTCTTGATTTCGGTTCAGGTCATGATTTCCAGTTTGTGAAATCGAGCCCCGTGTTGGGGCTCTCCCTCTGTCTCTGCCCTTCCCCTGCTCTCTAATTAATTGATTGACTGACTGACTGATTGATTGATTGATTTTAAAAAGGTATTGAATTCCGTTCCAGCCTTTACAACTTGATACAGGGTTTGACACAGACTTTTCCTTGGAGTACTCTCATTAGTAGAGACCTCGGTGCCCCTCTCCTCAAAAGCCACACTGACCCAACACCTCTTAATAAACCCTGAGGGCAGGACTGGCACAAATGGCTGGGTTTGGTTGGCAACTCTCTCAAGGTAGATTATGTAGCATTTGGTGTCTTTTCTCCTTGGCTTTGGGTCTACATGCCTGTTCTGGAAAAACAAGACAATCCTTTCACAAGTGTGAAACACCTGCTTTTTATTTCCAGGCAGAGAAAATAAAAACAGAAGGATACAAGCTGTGGTTGCTTCATAAGACTACCCCCCCCTCCAAAAAAACCCCGAACAAAAAACCTAACAGTAACAACAAAATGACGCAAAAATGGGTAAATTCTCCCTCAAACAGCACTCCAGCACTCTCCTGCCCTCCTCTCCTGTTGTTGTCGTTTTTCCCAGAAGTCCTCTGACCACACAGTTGGCCCTCATATCAGCCAACTCCCCAGATGAGTTATGGGTTGACCCCAGGGCCAGAAGGGGATGGGGTGAAGTTGATAAGCATCATCTCAGATTTCTAAATGTTAAGTAGAGGTGAAAAGGGTTTCTTTGCTCAAACTGGACCCTTTGGGGAGTCAAATGTAGTGTTAATAATATTAAGACTACAGGTGTGAACTGGGCTTAAATAAAGAGATCCTTGGTTCTAAATCTAGACTGAAACTTCCATCTGGCTGACTGCGTGAACTTAGGCAACTCATCTTTTTCCCTGGGTGTGATGGTTAATTTTATGTGTTAACTTGGCTGGGTCCTGGTGCTCAGATATTTGGTTATTCCGGATATTTCTGTGAGAGTCTTTTTGGGTGAGATTAATATTTAAATCTATAGACTCTGAGTAAAATTGATTACCCTTCCTAACATAAGCGGGTTGCATCCAATCAGTGGAAGATCTGAAGAGAACAAAGAGACTGATGGCCCCCAAGCAGGAGGAAATTCTGCTAGCAGATGGCCTTCAGACTTGAACTACATTATTGGCTCTTCTCTGGGTCTCTACCTTGCTGGCCCACCCGAAATATTTGGGGCTTGCTAATTTCCACAATCATGTGAGCCAATACCTTAAAATTGATCTCTCTGTCTCTGTCTCTCCCTTTCTCTGATAGAATTGGATTGAATTGAATAGAATTCTGATAGAATTCTCAGATTGGAAACATGAAAAATATAACACACAGTGATGTCGACTATATGAGGAAATAGGCACTCTTGGGCATCCCTGTGGGAGAGTAAATGACTATCTCCATCCTAGACGGTTTGAACTACTTAGAAAAATTTAAAATCTGCATATTCTGTCACCTAAGTAGGTACCGTACACACACAAGAATAAGGATATTTATTGCAGCCTTATGGCTAATACTCAAAGATTGGAAGCAATCTAAATATTCAGCAAAATTATGGGAACCCCACGCAGCTTAGTACTGTGTACTATGAAAATAATGAGCCAGCTCTTTGTGGGTTGACAAGGAAGGTTCTAAGATTCCAAGACGTTGAGAGAGAACAGTGAGGTGCAGGACAATGAAATGGAATGCTGTTATTTGCAAGAGAGAATAAAAATTAAGTGATTGTAAATATAGGGCTAATAAAGAAACTGGGAACACAGCCTGCCTCTTGTAAGGAAAATATGTTACTGAGGACAGGGAAAGACATCCTTTCGTCCTTTTGTACCATGGGCATGCATTATTTATTCAAAAAATAATTAAAAATTTAAAACCTGAAAAACATAGGGGAAACGGTATCAAAACTGACATCCCTTCTGGTAAAAAATGTTCATTAGAAACTTGTAAAAAAAAAAAAGTGAAAAAGCAAGCTATCGTAGGATCAGTATGATCTCAAATTTGTAAAAAGATATTTATGTATGGGTGTCCCTGCATCACAAAATGATTGGAAGGTATACTCCCAAAGTAGTAATTCTGATAATCTCTTTGTGGTATATAGTAATATATATTTTTTATTTTCTTCTGAACGCTTTTGCATGTTATCTGAATTTCTATACTGATCATTTATTTCTTCTAGTTAGAAAAGCAATTTTTAAGAGAAGACTATATGTAAAATTTTGCGTTTCTTTATGCAATAGTTCTGAATTGTTGCAATGTTTGTAACTCATATCCTGGTTGATCTCCAGTCTCCGGGGGATCCTAAAACTCAGCTTTTAGCCTCATCTTACCTCAGATCCTGATAATAATCATAATAAGACCACATTTAACCTTTCCTAGGTAGTCCTTTATAAAAATAATTTGCAATTAGCAGATGCAGTCATCATTATCTAATTTATATGGCTGATCAATTCGTACATTGTGTATATTCACCCTCTTAAACTAGCAAGCCTCTATAGGCCTTTTAGAACTCGGATATGCTTAATCGTGTATGTTTCCTCCTA